GGCTGGGACACACTGGAGACACACCGGAGAGTAAAAAGGACACTGTTCAATATTACCCAGGACAGTGATCATGAACGGAGCTGTCACAGGCCTCTGATGTGCGTGGATACCGCCTCCAAAACTATGCAGCTTGGGAAGGTTCCGGAACCACTCTGAGTGTCAGTGTGCTCGTCTGGAGTGGGGATAGTTGTACTCCCCTCCACAGGATCACATGAAATAAAGGGTGCCTTCTGCAGAGGGCAGGGCGAAAGCTCTCAGTAAGTGGTGCCTACAGCAGGACCACTAATGAAAAGTCAAATTTGTACCCTCCCCGAGAACTCACTCACATGGGTGTGCCCTGCACCAGACATTCGAGTCCCTTCCTGCTACTCCCCACGCTTCATCTCCGCGGAGGGCCGTGGTGGCCCTGCCTCCTTGTCTTCTCCTTCAGGTCAGGTATGGGCACCTCTGTCCTGGATCTTGGCCTCCACCTCCCAGCTGCCCCCCACCTTGTCCTGCGTCCTTCGCATCACCATGCAGTAATGTCAGCGCACGGAGCTGACCGGAACTGTGCAGAAACCTAGGGCGGGTCCCCCTGCCGGTGTGCCACATTGAAACCCATGTGGTCTGGTCCCATGATCTTTTCTGTGCTACTTCTCTCCACCGTTACAGCAGTAACTGTAAGGGTAAGAAAGGGTAAGAATTTTAGAGGCCTCTGCCTCAGGACCTTGGCTTATGCTGCTTCCTCTGCTACAGTACCCTTCCCTGTCATTGCAGACCAATCTGTCCTCAGCCAACTTGCCCAAGATCACGCAGTCCCTAAGTGGAAGAGCCCGGGTCTCCTCTGCCTCAGTCTGTGCATCCCTCCCAGTGAAGCCAGGGCCCTCCGCATTGGTCCTTCAACCTTCAAAATTGGGGGTACCCAACCTACATCCTGGAACTCCTCTGAGGGCAATGAGATCACAGATATGGAGAATGCTTCATGAATGGTAAAACCCAGAACAAATGCTATTTTTACCCTTTCAAAGCACTGCTCAAATGACTTCTTGACAAGCTCCTTTCCGACCACCCTTCCCAGAATTAACCCTTCCCTCCCCCACTCCCCCATTCCCCTCATTCTGTGCTATTTTTAATGCAGGGCCCCTGGGATTATCATCTCTTATGTCTGTGTTTTCTCTCTTGGATCCTCACCACACCACAGTCCCCCCAAGAGCCAGAGACCCATCTAATTGGATGTCTATCACATAGCGCCTGGTGTAGGGCCCTGTACAATGTGGATGCATATTAAATGCTTATTGAGCTACTTTTGAGGTCCTCTTTCAAGATTCACCTTGGCTTTTCATAGGAACCTTTCATGCAGGGGAGAAACTGAAGACCAGTTCTTTAGTCTTAAGAATTATCACCAACATTCTCTGTTCTTTCCAGTGTACTAAGGGCTTTCTTAGATGTGATCTCATTAATCCTCACCAGAACCCTGTAGCTCTCCCCCTTCTTAGTGGGGGGTCCTTTGAAAACAGAGGCAAAACAAACCTTAAAGTCTATTTTTGGGGTGCAATCCTAGGGCAGCAAGATGAGGGGAAAGCGAGGGAAAGAAGGAAAGCAAAGTCAAGGCGATGGATTCTTGCAAAGCCCGCCACTTCACACAAAGCAGATCCAACCCAGAGCATCCAACCAGCCAAGGAAGGGAGCGATATTGATTTGCTGGCTCCTTCCTGAATCCTGTTTCTGGTTGCTTTAAGCTCATTTGATGAGGTACTAGCCAACTCCCCTGGACTTCCAAGTTTGTGTTACTCCATCCTTTGTCGGTCATCATGGGGGCCAGATCCACGTCCAAGGTGCAGAGCTTCACTCCAAAACCAGCAGGGGAGGCAGGGAGCAGCCAGGCCCCCATGGGTTCACAGGGTTGGACGAGGTGCCAGAGCTGCTCAGCCCCCACTGTGGCAGCCGTGTGGGGGAGACCATGCTGCAGGCTGGCCCTCACCCCTGACTGGTTAAGCCGGTGATGGACTGTGACTGGGGCTCCCCACGGAGCAAGGAGCCAAGGTCTGAGGCTACGAGGAGCTGAGTGGATCTGGGGGTACCTATGGTTGGTTGGATAATTCCCCTTCCCCTTTGACATCTGAAGAAACGGAGGCTAGGAGATATGGAGTGACTTGCCCAAGGTCACGAGGCTATTAAGGGGTGGGCTCCAGTCTCAAACTCAGGTATTCAAGCTCCAATCCAGGCCCCCTGTCCACTTGATCACAATGCAGGTGAAGAGAAATATGGACACCGGGATGGGTTGTAGACACTGCTCACTTCTATGGCCATTATTAATAGCCCACCTTTCCAGAAACGGATTGTATTTCTCTTGGCCTCCATCCGTCCATTCATCCACCCACCCCTCATTCACCTACGCCTCTATTAAGCACCTACTTTGTTCCAGGCACACGGGACCATCCATCAACATACTGACACCGGGCTCTGCTCCCAGAGCAGACTCAGAGTTGGCTAGGGCGCCCATGGGGAAGAAAACAATCACCTTTATTATGGGACAGAATGTGCCCCATGCTAAGGGGCTCTGCATGGTGGGTCTCCCGAGGGAGGAGTGAAGAACTCATGTGTAGAAACTAGAGGAAGTTTCCCAGAAAAGGGGGTATTTGAGGTGAACACGGGAAGATGAAGAGGATTTTTAAAAAGGTAGGTTGTGAGGGAAAGGGCACTCCACATGGAGGGCACAGCATGGGCAAAGGGAGGGCGGCCAGGAGAGCAGGACGGAGTCGGAGAACAGTGTGTCCGCAGCGACAACCCCAGACTCTGCAAGTCTGCTCGTGAGAACTTCAGCTTCAACTCCCTCACTGTCAGAGAGCGCCCCAGCCCTGGGCCTTTGTTGCTTTGCTCAGGAATTAGGTAGCTATAAAAACAACAGAGGGCCAAGCAGAAGATCATCACTGTGCCCTGAATTAATTAACAGAAACTTGCAGACAGCACTTCGAAGTCTCCACAGCAGAAAGCAGTCTCCTCCAGCCGGCATTTGCCCGAGCGCGCACAGATCACGGTCACGGACGACCTGAGAGTCCTCTCTGTTGATTTAACTACATACCTGGCCAATGAGATTATTATGAATTTTTACCAAAAAGCCAGGGACATTTCCAGAGATGACAGTAGGAGGGCTCTCACACGCCGGCTCTCCCTGGCTCTTGGACCACTGTTCCCTGCAGGGCGGTCCATTTTATCAGGCTGGTGTCCAGGCCAGCGAAAGCACTGAGGAGGGAGGATGCCATCCTGAGTTGGGCTGAACCCAGAGGGGAAGGAGCCAGAGCCTCTTCAGGATGCCCAGTGTCAGCCCTTTTGTTTTGCCTTCGGTGAACCATGCTTGTCCCTGGTTGGTGCTAGACCAAATGGATCATGACCACTTAGAACATGTGTTAGTTTTGCGTGGGGTAACAAAGCTCACAAATTAACCAGGGATCCATTACTGAGTTTTTTCTAAAGGCTGGGGCTGGGGTCAGAGATGAGAGGCCCCTGGTATCTGGGTGCCCAAGGGACAAACACGTTGAGTCGCTTGTGGCAAAAGCCCAAACGGAGGCCAGAGCCACACTGGGGTCCTGACCTGAAAAAACATTCCAACAACTTCTGACAGAAGTCCCGTGTGGCGGGTGGGCACATGTCGGAATGGGGCGTCTGTGGATTGTGTGCGCCTGCGTTGTTTCTTGTGCTGTGCAGGAATATGAAGTTACAATGATTTATTGGTTTAAACGTTTCCTTTGAAAGACGACTGCACCGTCGTCCCCCGCCCCCGGCCCCCCAACGTCTTCCAAACATACCAGGATGCTATGGAGAGGGCACAAAGCCCTCGGCCGATAATTGTTGAGGATGGTAACTCCACCATGGTAATATCGACTCGGAGACATTAACCTCCTGGCTGTGGGCTGGGAGTTTTGGAATACGACCTCAGCAGCTGTACTTATAACTGTTTGATGTCACATTGACCGGGCGTGTTTACGATTTTTAACAACAGCGTTAAAAAGTCCGGTGACATCTGTTGAGAGTTTAATTGTGAGTGTAAAAAAAAAATATATTAAAGGAAGAGTCAAGAGATCAATTTTCATACTGTTTAAACAACACGGTGGCCATCAGGCGGTGGGGGAATCTTGCGACAGGACTAACGCAATCTCCCAAGGAGCCGCGCTGGTGTGCAGGGCGGCGGGAGGGGATGGCAGACAATTTAAATGAAGTAGGAGCGGGAGGCTGCCCGAGGCAGGGAAGAGCGAGTAGAGGAAGAGAGGGAGCACCGAGAGCCAGAGCAGAAAAGAAATGAAAAAAAATGAAAAATTTTTTTCCTCCCACCGGAAAGTATCTCCAACCCCGGCCTTGGGCAGCGCGGCCCATTTTCCTCGCGTCTGGCTGGGCGCGGGGGCGGAGAGGTGGAGGGGCGTCCGGCCGGAACGGTCCCAGGGCCGGCAGCCCCAAGCCGCGGGCCGGCGAGTTTGCGCCCCTCCGCACCGCCACTTTTGTTCTCGGGTCGGGGTACCGGGCCGCGGCGGGGCTGCAGTGCGCACGCGCGGGCGGGGCGGGGGCGGGGCGGGCGGCAGGCTCCGGCACCGCCCCCCGCCGCCCCGGCCCGCTCCATCCGGGCACTGCCGAATTAGCATCGTGCCGAGGCACAACTTTGCCGAGGCCCAACGAGATCCAGGCGCGCGCCGGAGAAAATATAGTCCCTGCCGGCCGGCGGCTCACGCGGGCGGCGGTGGCGGCGGGGCGGACGCGCGCGGGCTGCGCGGGGCTGCGCGGGGCTCCCGGCGCCTGGGGGCCATGCGCCGGCCAGCGCGGGCGGCCCGGGGACCCGGCGCAACTTGCCGGGCAGCCTGAGGAGTTGGAGCGGCCGCGGGCTTGGCGCCGCGGCGCCCAGCCGCCTTTCTTCCCCCTCGCCAGACCCCCCTCCCTCTCTCCCGTTTGTCCTTGGGGGAGGGGGCTCCCGTGCCCCCTCCCTCCCCGGAGGCCCGGTCCGCCCCCGCCCGCTCCCGCCCCCGTGGAGTCGCGCAACTTCCCGGGAGCCGGGGCCAAAGTGAGCGCAAAGTGCTGCCCAAGTTGCCGGGATGGAGCTGCAGAGCCGGCCCGAGGCGCTCGCCGTGGAACTCGCGCGCCACCAGGTAGGCGACCCGGGGCCCCGGGCCAGGAGTGGGGGGGTTGGGGGGGGCTTCAGGGACCCGAGCCCAGCGTCCCGTTCCTCGTCGTGGCAGGGTCTGCACGGCTGAAGGTGCCCGAAAAGGGCTCCTCCTCGAGCCTGCCCCGGGGCTGGGGGGAGTTTTTACGTGCCCGGCCCCCCGCCCCCGGGCTCCTCCTCTGCCCTCCTCTCTTGCAGTCTTGCACAGTTTGGGGGGGTGGGGTCCGGAGCCCGCGGGACCTGAGCCCCGCATCTTCTTTTTATCCACGCAGGGTCTGCAGGACTGAGGGTGCCAGGAGGGGGCCCCTTCGTGATTCTGCCCCGGGGTGTTTGTGTGAGAGTGTGGAACGACCCCCACCCGGCCCCCACCCGCGTGCAACCCTGCACAGTTTGCAAAAGTAGTTTTGGCGATTGTTGCTCGGGCTAGCAGCGGCGTGGCGGCCGGAGCCCGAGCGGAATTGCGGCGTGCGCGTGTGTGTGTTGGGGAGATTAGGACGCGACTTGAATATTTATGAGCTTTGCTCGACACGGACTCGCCGTGTTTACTTGGCTCTTTGTTCCTCCCCCCTCCCCCGGCACACAGTCACACTCACACTCACTCGCACACTCACCCCTGCCTGCAAACTTGCACGGCTCGGGGCGCGCCGCCGGGTGGCCGCGGCCCCCGCCCCGCCCCGCGAGCTGCCCCGATGAGGCGGCAGCCACAGGTAAGCGGCCCCGCGCGGCACTGCCCGGCCGCCGCGCGTGCGGGACGCAGCCCGGGGAACTTGGGGCGCGCTGCGGACAGCCCGGCCCGCGGGCTGCCGGGTGGGGGGGTGCGGCCCGCGGGGCCCCGGGCGCACTCGACCCCCCGGGGCGGCCGGCCTGAGCCTGCTCCTCCGTGTTTCCGCAGAACGGCGACCTCAAGAAGCAGCTCCACGAAAGGCAGCCGCGGATCGCCGCGCTCAACGACAAACAAGTAAGCGAGCTGGAGCCTGCGCCCCCCAACTCCGCCCGCGGTGGGGAGGAGGGGTCGCCCGGCACTTTGGCAGCACCCTAAAAAGTGCCGGCCTCGGCGCCGCACGCTCAGACTCCCAAAGGAGTCTGTCTGCAGCCCTCAAAGTTACCCGCCCCCCCTTTTTCTGGAAAGAAAGAGCCGGGTTCTTGGAGGCCGAGGGGGGAGAGCAAGGCTCCCGCAGTGGCCGAAAGAGAGAAGCTGCGCTCAAAAGGCGGCGAGCAGCCCGGCGTCCATTTTGAGTTGGTGGACATGTTTTTGGAATGTGGCAATTTCTCCCGGCTCGGTGTCCCCCACTTCACGCCGGTGTGAGGGTAGGGGTGGCGGGGGGCGGTATTTCGGGCCTGGACACCAAACTCCTTGGAAGCGATTTCTGGATTCCATTGCAAATCTGATTTAAAGAATCGTTCCTCTGGGCTCCCCCCTCCCCTCCACTTCTCCAGCATCACTTTTTATTCTCGGAACCTGACGCCAGCTCCCGGGGAACAAAAGAAAGGCGCCCCCAGGACCCCCCAGTTCTGCCCCAACTTTGGTCTCTGGCCTGCAGGCGTGGATTGGGACACCCGACGAGCGCCTCGCGGTGGGGGGCACGGCCACCGACCCCCCTCCCGACCCCTCCGGGGAGGAAAAGTTGTCCATTGTGACTTAGTTGCGCTGAGCTCAGCGATCGGGGTTTCAGCACCACGAACAGATGCCGCCGCCAGAGCGCGGCCGGCCGCGCGCCCCCGCCCCCTCCCTCCCCGCCGCTCGCGCCCCTCCCCCTCCGCTCCTCCCCCTGCGCGCCCCGCTCCCCGCACACGCGCTCCCGCCCCTTCCCCGCGCCGCCCGGAGCCGAGAACTTTGAGCGGCGCAGCCAATGGCGCTCCCGGGGCTCCGAGGCTGGCGGGGGCGGGGGCGCCGGCGCCCCTCCCCGCGGCCCCTCCCCTCCGCGGGCCCGCCCCCGCCCCGCCGCGCCCCCTGGCCATCGATCGCGCTTCCTTCGGAATGCCGGCCGCCGCCGTCAGCACCAAACTTGGACAGCGCCGCCCCCACCCGCGCCCCCGCTGCGGCCGCCGCGGTGGCCCCCTCCGTCCTCCCCCAACTCCGGGCCGCGGATCCGATGCCCTCTCCCCGGAGGGGTTTTCGGTGGAGGGAGAGACAGGGACGAGATCGGCGGGGGTGGCGGCGACAGCGGAGCGGGAGAACTCGGAGGCCGGGTGTAAATTTCGAGTCTTTAAAGTTGAAAAGTGGTGGGAGGGGGCGTGCGGAAGAGGAGGGGGCCGGGGACTGCGGAAAGAAAGATGGCTGTCCCCGCGGGTCCGCGCCTGGTCGGGGGCGCCCGGCTGGACGGGAGGGTTGGGACGAATGCATTAACCCCTTTCTGTCGGTGCCGCGGCCCCCCCACCCCGGCCGCGCGCGCCCGCCCGGCCCGCGCCCCCGTCCAGGCGTGGAAGCTTCCATTCCCGCCGGAGGGGGGTCCGGCGCGCGGCCCCGGCGAAGTCGGGGAGTTCGCGGGGGGAGGGGACCCAGGCCCGGCATTACCATTTTGATTGCTTTGATGCCATTTTTGGAGGGGGAGGGGTTGGAAGACCCTTCGCTGAGCACAAAGATGTTTAATCGCTGTGTAGAATCAAATCAGATACTTTATTATTATTATTTTTTTTTTTTTTAGAAAAAAAACCCCATCACCAAATCCGGTGCAGTGTGATAGCTAAGAGAGATGCTAAGCCCTTTTTCACTGGGTAGAACGACAAGTTGTTGACTCTTATGCTCTGAGTGGAAGATTTAAGAGAGGGAGGGAGGGAGGGAGAGGGAGAGAATCCAGTAATCCGCAGCTTTTATTGCAACAATGTCTTTATGTGTGCTTCTACATGGCAATAGTTTTACTATTTGGAGTGGCTTTTCAGAGCTTGGGTTTGATCATTTCTTCTGTGTTGTAGCAACTGTTTCAAGGCTGTTTAAAATTTTATGATGATAGTAAATGAGTAGCTATTTATTATCTGTCATGCCGGAATTTCGATGAGGCTGAGAGAAACATTTGAAATTGTGTTTGGAGGCTCCCGTGCAGCTTCGGGGAAGGAGCTTTCCTACTCCAGGCTGTCTTTGCCTTTAAATTTGAACTAGGGGAAGGAAAGATGCTTGCGAATGGAATGTACCTCCATCTTTTTGTGTGTGTTGAGTGTGTGTTCAGAAAGAAAGGAAACAAGGAAAACTTTTGTTCTCTGGCCTTTTAAAAATGTTTCTCTTTTAAATGACTAAATATAACATATGGTAAGCAGCCAGCCTTGGGCCTGGCCATCGGAACTTGTGTTTGGAACTGTCTGTTGTTTTTCTTTTTCCCTTTGTGGCATTTTATATAACAAGGGCTCATAAAAGAGGGAGGGGAGGGGGCCCGAGCCGTGGTGCAGCATGCTAATAAAGCTGCCTTGTCTCTCCCGAGCTCCGCGGTGAAATCTTTCAGAGGTCACCTATGAAATGAGTTGGGTAGACTTAACATTTACTCCTCTCTCCCTCCTTGGGAGAGTTTGGTGGTGATTGGCAGCTTGGCGGGGGAAAGGTCCATGAACAGGCTCTTTGGAGGTGATTCTGGGCTGTACCCAGGGTCTGGAAGAGGAGCAGCGGGGGCTCTGCTTGGTCACCTCGGAACCTGCCCGGGAGTAGCAGAAATGTGGGAGCAGGTATGAGAAGGCCAGTATTTTAGAGTTTGTTTTTGACTTAACATAAAATTAAAGGTAGTGCTCATTTATAGATTTGCTCGGGAAGAAATTCATACCATTTACACTTCCGGAGATGTGTTTTTGTGCTGCTCCTGCCTGGAATGTGGGATGTAAAGGTTAAGTTTCAATTAAAAGTGCATACGTGGATGATGAACTAGATAGTAAAGCGAACGGATGACCCCATTATCCACATCTGTTAGAAATACAATAGCAGCTAAGTAATATCTTTTGGTGCCCAGCCATCAATTTCCCATTCACACCCTTGACACTGGAATTTTTTCAGTGATTTCTAGAAACATGGACAGGTGTTTAAAGATGTTTATCAAGGACTCACAGAAGTAAATAGGCTGGTTGTCGGTCAGAAGTAGAGAGATACAAATCCTGTATAACTCTCCGGTGTGTCTCCCACCTTTGGTGGACTAGGGGATAAACAGGAAACCAGCTACCATAGGACCTCGCTGTTTGAAAACGGAGTTCATATTTTTTCCTTTAAAAAAAAAAAAAGGAGGTGGGGGGAGTTGGTCAGAGCCGAATTTTGGCCAGGCTGCATTCCCAGGTGTGGCCGCGCCTGGCTGCCAGGTTTTGAATTCCAGTGGAGGACGGACCCCTCGTCTTTAATGACATATGATGTGTGAAGACTCCATTAGTTGCTCCAATGGTTTTACGCCATGAATTTGCAGCACATGCAGAGAGGCAGTAACATTTTTATCTGAATTGTCAAGCAACAAGCACTTCCGTGTAAATAACAGACCCATCATAAATACTGGGTTTTTTTTGTTGTTGTTGTTTTTTACCTTCCCGCTTTGGAGTTCTCAGCACAACATTTAGGTGTCGCGTATAGTGGGCATTTCCAGACCTGAACTTCATAAAGTTCAGCTTCACCACAGAGGGAGAAGAGCCTTCTGTGGTAACTGCAGCCCGGGCTGGTGTGGCCTTGTGAGAGAGAGACCCCCCCCGGAGGTGAACTTGGGGACTTTTGTGCCGCTCAATCCATCGATTTGATGGACTCTGGATTCCGAGGGGCTGTCCTTAAGTGCAGCAATAAAAATATGTCTTCTTGAAAGGTATTATGTATGTGGCATGCACCCGGGCGCTGAATCATGTCTTCACTGTGATTCACTAGCCGTGGTGGACACCAGAGGGACTTCGCCTTGTTAAGTATCCACCAAACGAAATTGCAGGCTGGGTTTTATTCCGAAAGCTCCCGATTGTTTGCAGTCCTTTGGTAAAAGGACATGCCATTTTCCAAGCTTTCCTTCAAGTCTGTCCCTATCCAGGAGGGTAAATTTTCACCTTCCTGACTTTGAGTGGAAGTTGTCATGCTTCTAATAGCATCATTATGTGCTAAAGAGAAAAGTGTCCCAAAGTTCCACGTTCCATCCCCAAAGTTCCACGTTCCATCCACTAGGACAGCAACCCCCAGGCCTGGCTTGGCCCACCACCACCCTTACCCCCCAACAGCCCATGTCCCTCCCACACTCACCTGAACCCTGTTCCTGGAGTCCCTCTTCCTCTCCCCAACCCCCTCCACCACTCGGGCCCCTCCTCCATCACCTCTTAGTTGGAAGATTGCAGTAGCCTCCTCACTGCATCCCCTGTAAAAACACAAACAAACAAAAAAAACCCCACCACCAACAAAACCCAAAACAGCTTTGTTGAAGTACGATTCACCTATCCTATCATTCATCTGTTTCAAATGCACAATTAAATGGGTTTTTTGTGTATATTCACAGAGATTTGCAACTGTCACCACCATCAATTTTAGAACATTTTCATCCCTCAAAAAGAACCCCCCTGGCTCTCACTCGCTGCCCACCCCAGTCCAGCCCTAAGCAACCACTGATCTGCCCTCTGTCCCTAGCGAGTTGCCTATTTTGGCTTTCCTGTGAATGGAATTACACGATGTGCGCTGTTTATGACCAGCTTCTTTCACTGAGCATAATGTTTTCAAGGCTCATCCCAGTGGTAGCCGGTGGTGGCCCTTCATTCCTTTTTGTGTCTGAATAATATTCCGTTGTACAGGTAGACCACAGTTTGCTTGGCTCTTCACCAGTTGATGGGCATTTGGGTTGTTTCCGTCTCTTGGCCACACGAATAACATACTGCATCTCCTCTTGCCCCTTCTGGTATGTTCTGCTTGCCCTGCTTGGTGTCCGCTTCAGGGCACTCTCTGCTTGGTTCTGCTTGGTCTCCACTCAGGGCACTCTCCATCTCCCTCCTGCACATGGCAGCGCTGTCTCTCTGGTTGCTTCCAGCAGCTTCTCTGGC